GCGCACACTTCTGGCAGTCCCTGACAAAGTCCATTATCACCTCATGAAGAGACCCTCCATATCACTTGCCTTTGCCGACGCTGCCTTGCGACGCACTCCGACATCACAAGGCGCAAGTGCAACATCCCAGTATAATTTTATGTCCGTGCAAGTGTTTGCCGAGGGATAATCTAGCGTGTGCATCCCCTAAAATTCTCCGGGTTTACAGGCAAGACTTTACGAGTCTCGGCGGCACTCTTCTTGGGAAATGGGAAACGTCAGAGGGAAAAAGATGGCAACAGTGAGAGCGCTGCAAACGTGGCTCCGACGCCGAGGACGCACCTTGGCTGCCTCTTTCGGGGGCGATAAAATTTGACGATGAATGACCGGGTGGATCGGGTAGGAGATGGGGGACTACCTTCCTCTTGCCCGGCAAGACGCGTGGTAAGAACACATTCCGGTTCTTCCAGAGACTTTGCGCTCAACTTTCTCGAAGATATTCATGTTGATGGCGTGAACTGAGTTGGACTTCGCCTTCCGTAAGGCATGCAAGCGAGTTTTCCATTTTGAGTCTTGAGTGAAGTCTTGGCTATCCTATGACAGTTTCATCTCCCAAGGTGGCAAATGGGAGATTTAGTTCATGAGTCCCTTTACATCTTGGCCTATTCATATTCGGAGATCGTGTGTTCTGTTCATATTGCATTAATTTTGAAAAACTGGTAATTTCACCAAATTAATTTTAGTCACAGCCCTGTCGTTTGTTTCATTAATGTTTTCGATGATGATCAATGTTCTTTAGCCTGTTACTGTTCTCATAAATTTGGGGTTTTCTGAATGATAAATTCTTCTGATGCTCACATCATAAATTCATTCAATTTGCCGAGCCCGATATTCCATTATTCGCTGCATTTGGAATAATTTCCGTTCGATCTTTTGTGATTGTAACAACTGTTCCACGGAAGGGGAGCCCCACGATGTATGTGCACAGGCGCGCATGCACGAGTGTACCTATATTTTATAAAGCAAACTCTCGGTAACGAACGAGAAATTAATGTAGATGTGTCTCTCGGCTGGAATGCTTTGGCCAGGCTGCTATTGTAGTCAACTGCTGCAATGTCACGAGAAACGCCAGAAAAATGGGTCTCTCGAGTGGTTCCTGACAGTCTACACAATGGCCGCAAGAATTACTGTCTCAGCGAATGTTTAAATGCTAAGCAGCTCTTTGGCTAGAGCTGTACAAGTATTGAACTTGTTGCATGGCTTCTACGCAGATTTTCAGCCAACGATGTGACCTCTCGAGATACGCGGGGTCCTAGGCTGGTGGTTACTCTGGCCTAGTCATTCAATTACACTCAGCGATTTAAGTAAAAAGGTTTGTCGCCTGGAGAGAAATTTTACAGACTCCAATTTTTTTTGCCAGTGGTTGTCTGAAAAGTTCTGTAGGTTTTTGAATTATTTTGTATGATGTGGTATTAGATTAGGTTAGAATGCTTTGAGCATCTGGGATTATGCGAATTTTTTGCAGTTCATAGTTCAGTTTCTCCAGTGAATCTAATTAGCTTAAAAAATGTATATTTTTTTACTGTACTCGAAACATTATTCGATATTTTTCGATTTAATTTAGCTCTGTCATCTCTCTATGTATATTGCTATGACCCTGCTTTTAGAGCTGCATCTATGCACACTAACAACATTGGGGTAATTATTTATGAAATATAATCGGAAATTATATTATTAAATTATTCTAATAAGTGTATTTAATCTTCTTATTCCACGTAATTATGGCATTTGTTAACTATTGTTAACTTTCTTAATAACATCATCAAAAAAAATAAAAAATATCTAATAACATCAAAAAGCGCTCAATAATGAATGCAGGCGCATTTTATTTCGTGAACAAGGAGGAAATGAAACTTAGACTTTGACGCAATATTTTGTCACTTTTTTCTGTTATGGTGAGAAAAACGCCTCGTGCAGCAGTAGCTCTAGGTGAGGTGTAGAAACAGGGCCCCTCGCTGGTGTGGATCTACAAGGAGATCCGTGCAAGTCTGTCGTAATAAGACTGTAATAACAGGCACATGACGGACGACATCTTTATTGCTCATATCGCCTCGTATTCTCCCATGTAGACGCGTATGCTCCGGCTTGGTCTGGACAACAGGTCGCGACCTCGACTCGTACGCTTATATGATGCAAGTATGTACTCTCGAAATATCGTCAGTGGATGTATTGTTAGCGATTGTTAGTTTTAGTCTCATAATTGATGTTTGAGTAATAATAACATTAACATTTTGTGTTCGAGTATACTTGTATTTATTTCTGGATTAAATAGACATATAACATTAATGGTTTTTTTAAATTTAAGACTTGGTCAAAATTTGCGTTTTGACTTTTGCAATTTGAGAACAGAATGTATGAGAATGTATGTATCTCAAAGGCAACTTTTTGAAATGCTCTTTAAATTTGGCATATAGAAAATTCTAGACAATAGCTCTGGAATTATGTTTACTTCTGGAAATTCTGTTATGTTGTATCTAAACTGCTAAGAAAGCTCTACGACATTGTTTTCTATCGTCAATCGTTAATTTCTGACATTATATTTCTACAAGAAGCTTTTCTAAGATGGGGTGTTCGTCATCCTAGGAGCGCATAAGCCTTAGCGCAATATGTTATCGTGGAGATCTAGTCTTTGTTTCCAATCTTGTTGCTGGAGCAGGATTTGTTCCCCTCTTTATATTGTGAGGGGAAGAGAACCGCGTCCCCATACCGCGGAGTGTCACTTGGCTGCTCTTCCGCTCCGTCGCCTCCTCACTTCGCTCGACCATCGTGCACTTCACACATCTTTTATTATGAAATTCTTCTTTTCCTGAAGCTATGCCTTGGCATAGTACTTCTTTTCTATGCATCTGTTCCCTTTCAATTCGCTATGGAATACTCATCTTGCGCAATCATCTTACGATGTTTATTTTAAATTATGAATGATGTATATTAATGCCTATTGGTTTGCATATCGTTCAGCTCAAGTTAACGATGCTTCGCGCTGCTGGAATGCCCCGAGTATATAAGAGAAAATCTCTTCAACTGATTAGTTCTTCTATTAATTTTGTTAGTATCTTAGCATTTAATTACCTAAAACACAGGATTATTGTTCATGAGGTCGTAAGAAACACCAGGCGCATAAACTAGCGAGTCATTCGTGCAATGCTTTAAGTCAGGAACCCAAAGCGAGCTGGCATGCAGGTATACCTGGTAGCAATAAATATTGTATCGCTCCAATTTTCGGAACAAAACAATAATGTAATCCGATAGTGGAGCGATCGATTGGCAGCCATTACGATGAGAACAAAGCCTTTGATTAATGATGAGACTGGCGAGGTGGGGACGAGGGTATCGAGGGGAAAACGAAAACGGGGTAAAACGCGAACTGTGGTGGAGGGGTTACAGTGTCTATAGCGTGGGGTTATAGCGAGTATAGCGTGGGGCTGTGGTAGCAAGTATGGCGTGAGGTTGTGTTTGTGACAACAGCTTGGGGTTATTAGTACGAGTAGGGAGTGTTGTAATTGAGGAAACAGCGTGAAGTCGATGATTGTGGGTACAGCGTAAAGGTTATGATTGTGGGCACAGCGTGAAGGTTATGATTGTGGGCACAGCGTGAAGATTATGATTGTGGGCACAGCGTGAAGTAAGGTTATGATTGTGGGCACAGCGTGAAGGTTATGATTGTGGGACAGCGTGAAGGTTATGATTGTGGGCACAGCGTGAAGGTTATGATTGTGGGACAGCGTGAAGGTTATGATTGTGGGCACAACGTAAAGGTTAGGATTGTGGGCACGGTGTGAAGGTTAGGATTGTGGGCACGGTGTGAAGGTTAGGATTGTGGGAAAAGTGTGAAGGTTATGATTGTGTGAGCACAGTGTGAAGGTTAGGATTGTGGGAAAAGTGTGAAGGTTATGATTGTGTGCACAGCGTGAAGGTTATGATTGTGGGCACAGCGTGAAGATTATGATTGTGGGCACAGCGTGAAGGTTATGATTGTGGGCACAGCGTGAAGGTTATGATTGTGAGCACAGTGTGAAGGTTAGAATTGTGGGAACAGTGTGAAGGTTAGGATTGTGGGTACGGCTCGAATGTGGGTACTGCGTTGAAATCGCATGGATTGAGGGTATGGTGAACGTATAACGCACGAGTGAACGTATAACGGCGTGATGGCTGGGAGGCGAAGTCGTTATGAGTGAGAATGCATCGAAAAGGCTGAACAGGTGCGCGTTCGTTTAGACTTTAGCGTCATGGAAAGAGAAAATCAGTTTGCCTAGGAGAATAACGTGAATAACTTCTTAGTACGGTGGTTAATGGCTATGATTTTAGTTTGAAAGATTATTATCGTTCTTTTAAAAAGCTACGAGTAAGCCTCTCTAGTGACGCAGCCAGTTAAACTCCTATAGTATTCGTTTCTTTTCGATTGTATCTCGAATTTGTGCGCTAATCTCGTTATATCCTCAAGCATTTTGTGCATAAGTGTGAATATATCCAATTAAGAAACCATGAATAACAGAGGGTGTTATAATTATAATTCTAGATAAAAGATGTTTATATTGATAATCATTCTAGTTTGTACATAACGAAGCGTTTTAGATGTATGTCACATTGTGTCAAAATTGAATTTTTCGCACTCAACTGCTTTATCGTGCATGTTCAATAGCTTGGTCTCAACTTAATAGCTTGGTCTCAACTTCGCTTATAGATGTCATTCGCCAGAACTGAACGCACTGTAATTATCAGTGCTATAGTGAGAATCGAAAACCTTGAGTTGTCTCGTGTCTGCGAGAATATCACGCAGAAAGGTCATACTCAGAAAGGAGACCAGTTCTCGTTGTTCTTATATTATATATCATTGGTACATGATAGATGTTTGAAATATTCTTTTTCCACTAAAATCGATGCACTCTCGACAGCTACCGCCATTGCATCATCACAATGATTAATGGTAAATAAGAGATGATAAGGGGAAAAATACCAATATAATTAGTTTGAACACGTTTATTTTGAAAAAATCTAATATACACAATATGTTGCCCACTGCATTGCATCAGCTTTATGTTCAACGAAACATTGAGTAAGTAATTAGTGGAGAGAAATCGAACGCAGCCGATATCTTTCGTGATAACGGCTGAGTTAGTATGAACATGGATGAAATTCCAAATTTCATCTTATAATTTTGATAGGTAAATTTAATGTCTTTACATTCCAGTAATTTCTCGAAAATAGCGTACATTATTTACTGTCTTACAATTGTTACATTATTTGACATCTTATGAGCACCCGCGTGGAGATTTTATTGAAGATTCCTCACCACCAGTAACAAGAACATCACAACAACAGCAGGGTACAAACACATCAGTATACAGTTTTATTGCTCTCATTGTTTATCAATTTTTCGTATACAGTTTTGACGGATTTCTTTCAGCTCAAGATCACAGGAGAAAGTACGAGTGGATCGAGAACGTTCTTATGGTCACCGCCTGCGAGAGGGAAAACGTATACGCAGGCATCTAGGAAGTCTCGAGGAACCGGCAAGTATGTACCAAACTAACAGTTTTCCGCTGGACTAAATTGTATAAATGTTGATTTCTTATGCAATGTAGCTATTATGCCAAATGATAATCTATCCTCCGAAACTGAGATTAAAAAAATTACATGAAAGGAGTCATTCATTCATATTGCAGAATATTGAAGGATGCTCGAAGAACTAACTTCTTGAGTAAGTTTAGCGTTATTTTTTATTTTAATATTAGCATTAGCATTATTACTTAGGAAAAGTATGTTTCAGGATTTAAGTTAGGATACAAATGTACAATGGCGGCCAATACTCGACAAAAAGAATTAAATCCCACCGCCAGGGAGTTGCGATGTATCTCAGGGGAAGGGAAGAGGGAAAGGGTTCAGGTATTTACACGGGCAGTTTACCAATGGGGCACTATAATACTACACTTCTCGCGAAGTTGTAACAACGGCTCACAAACCTGGTTTCAATTTCCTAAGTCTTATTGAGAAAATAGGGGCTTGAGAGAGTGATTAGTATTGCAGTACCATCTCTCGTAAAGTAATGGATCATGCACGAGGGAAAACCTAATCATTGGAGTTTTTGAAATGATTATCATAATAACATGCCAGTGTCAGTAACAAAAATTTATCGAAAACCTTTATGAAAAAAGCACCATTTGAAATCGCTGACGACGTTCTAAGTTGGCATGTCTCGTGAAATAGAATCTTCTTGTAAATCAATTTAAGTCTCCTTAATTTGAATACATGAAGACGAAATACAAACCTAGTTAAAAGCGTTTGGTCTCACATTGGTATTAAAATTTTCTTCAACTTGCTTGATATGAACAACAACAACGACCATACTTTTCTCAATCTAAATTCATCTTTTATAGGTATTAAGACTTGCAGAAATGACCGCGCATGTTTGAAATCATTTACTATGTATTCATCCAAAAAGATCACAGAAAAGCCAGTTCCAGGTAATTATTACTTGCACCTACTGAATACTAAAACTTTGCTCTATTCTCCGTCATTTGAATACGTTTATAAGCAAAGTTCATGAAACACCCCTTCATCATTGTCGTGAGGAAAAGAACAAGAAACGAAGGCAACAATTACAATAGTCATCACTAAAGACAAGTCAACAATAATATAACGTTAAAATGTTCATTTCCTATTGCCCACTTCATTATCGACATTCAGCTCTGAAAATATTAAAATTCAATTGTTCTCTCACATGCAGGTAATCAAAGACTTCATATTCAATAACGATATGGTAAAAAGCATCATTTTATTTAAATCTGGGTAAAAAACTGAAGAGTCTAAATGTCCCCCCATTCGAACAAAACCTAATGCACCTTACATAAACGTAACAAATCTTTCCATCACTGTACAGTTTTTGGGTCACGATGTCCCAGGTTCTACACAGATGAATTATGCAATAGAAATGCAGGATGATGAACACAGGTTTCTCTTGTTCTTATGTACAATAGTTTTCTGTTCGCGTATCTTATGAATTGCAAAAATGTGTCTTTATCACCACCGATTGTTTAAAATTTCACTTCCAGTTCAAGTTCTTCCTAGATCTCTACACTATAAAAATCCCCACAAAAAGATCAGATTTTATGTTCACTTGCACTATAGAAGTTAGCTGTTCACTATGTACACTGATGCGCTCACGAGCGAGGAGGAGCACGCAATTTTCACTCAGCACCGTGATGCTCCAGCTCATCAGGCGCCAGGAAGTTCCTATGGAATAAACATTTTTATCGTGTGATGCACACATCGTAATACTAGGCGCTACTAGAGCGACAAGTCAATATTAAATATTTTTTTAATGTTATTATAATTATGCTGATCATTTTAGAATAAAAAAATTAAGTTGAACAATTAATTGATTATATTATGATTTTTATCTAATGACGATAAGTAAAACTTAATTAATCCACACAAAATTTCTGTATTTTTTATACTATTAATTAATTGAGGACAGTCTTGGTATTTGTATAAATACCCTATCCCCCAAAAGAATAATAACTTTTTTTTTATTTGAACCCGGAGTTTCAAATACATATCACACGCATGCAAACCATTAAAAGACATGTATACTGTATCATTACCTCTGTGCTTAAGTACCAGTGATTTACAGAGGAAATCTTGAGAGAATGTAGGCAACGATTTGAATGTCAACTAGAAGGTTAGTTGGCTCACCTCGCCTATAGATGGTGAGGATAGTTATAAGCAGCGGCAGCCTGGTGACCATAATAGGCGGCAGCGGCAGCATGGTCCGTGTACGGGTCCGCTGCTCGAAACATGTGTTGCTGGCCATCCATGACGTAGCCCATGCTCGCGTCCGGGGAGTACGCGCCCGCAGGACCCGGGAAGTGAGGCACTGATCATATCAAAACAATTATTCAATACAAAATAAGACTTTGACAATTAATAATCAAGACTAATTCGAAAACTTAATGGAATCTATCACCAAGCATTTTGGTCGTTGGCGAGCGTTCATGAAAAAGTTTGTTATGAACTCCGATAGGGAACTTTTTTTTTGTATGCTAGCCATTACGTAACGGCACATAATACGACTGTAAAGAGCTTCAGGCTAACGTAGGTTTAAATTTTTCTTCTCAAAACATATTCGTGCTCTCATAGATTTCGTCAGAAAGTTGACTATACTGAAAAAATAAGGCAGTGTGAGCACATTTTCTATGACTGAGGCAGGCTGCACGGTCCCTCCCTCTTTCATGACAAGATTCCATCGCGAGGCTATTTATTTTATTGGCCTTCTTCTCCATCTTTCATGCTTGTCCGATTTCATGCCACTATTTAGGATGAAACCAGACCAATTTGGAGCACATTTTGCTTTCCCAGAGCACAATGGAAGAACTCGAAAACTGCCGTGCTCACAAGATGAATGAGGTACGTTATTTTACACGAGCATCACCGAAATGTCATACAACAACAAAAAATAAACCCTCTACATGCTCTGTAGAAATTTTTCGCGCTCTTGATGTCAGATTGTAAAATGGTCGAATTGGAAATTTTCGCGTATTATTAATTGATCAGTAAATCAAACTTTATTCAACATATTGGCAGGTCTTGAGATTTTGTGGTTACATTTCTTAACTTTATACCACAATTATTATAATTCATACTATTATTAAGCTTTGAAAAATAGGGTCACAACACATTTTTTTCGTAGTTAAAGATAAAACATCGCACACGCACATGTCATTTAGTGGGAAACGTACACGTCTTACGTGTAAAAACTGACAATCTAACGCAGGCTCAAGTTACTCAGTCCCTAAATCGGCTTTTGCAGGGACATCGACAGTTCGGTAATTGGCAGGGGAGAAACGCATCACTCCATGGCATCTACACGTTTTCTTTCCACAATAAACGATTAGTTTTGTTCAACTACTTGCAACACCGTTCAAAGTATTCAGCCCAGCAAGCTTCGAATCTAAATCAAACTCGCAAAATAGCTCAATTTGCCTAACGTAAATAACGGATTGGGGAACATAGTCCAAGGACAACTATATTTTTCGGAGATATCCAAGAAAATACCATGTCATTTCAACAGGCCTGCTTTTCCAACGCAGGACATGTGCGACGAAGGCAGTCCCCGCTGGCTAATCTTTAGTGTCAGGTTACCAGCACAAATACAACAAAATGTTCTGGTCGTCTTTACCTAGCCATGCCGTGTATTAGTAATATGCGTCAGTACGCTGGAATTTATTTCTTAGATAACATTGACAGTTGCAAACGGATCGAGAGAGTAAATTTAAATTTTTAAAAATATTCAAGTTATTCAAGAACCTGTATTTCAATTACAAATAACAAACCATACTGGTACATTTATTCCTGATTTTTTCAATCTATCAATACATCAAATACAGATTGAAACTCGACAAAAGGCAAACTGCCATTTCTTCTTCGGTTCACACTTACTGCTAATTAAAAGCTCACGCCATGCACCACCACGTCCAAATCCGTTGGAAAACAAGAATGAATATGAGTAACTAGAACCATATAGAAAAGGAAATTACCCATAGCATGCGTGAGTATAATTAAGAGAGCAAGCTGTGGCAAGTTATTTACTTGCAAGGTTAACTCTGTACAGCGACAGAAAATAAAATTTTACTGTACTCACCTTTTGACGAATTTGTTTTAGTTTTTGCAATACTCCAAGTCCACATATTTTGTATTACAGATCCAGCATAATGTACATGAAAAATAATTTTAAAAACGCAAACAAAGCATCAACTTATCTGTAATTAATAATCTTTATTCAGTTCGTATCTGGTTACAACTTCGACTTCCTTGATTTATCAGAAATTAACATACTCCTCTGTCCGATAACCATGGGAGAGATCACTAGAAGAAATTTCCTTGTCAGTCGCCAGTTCGACGATAGTGCTGTAACTTGGCGTCGTAGCATCTTTCCCTCTCGGAACCCCTCGCTTTATCATCAAGTTATCTGAACGATGCGCAGTCGTGGCATTATCTTGGTTAGGCCATCCAATATAAGAACAGTAATCAAGGGTTCTGATGGTAGCTATCAAGGTTCTGTCTTGCAAAACTATTCAATTTGTATAGAAGAACAACATGCAGGGAAAAATACCGCTCAATTTTTTTGGGGGGATTCTAAATCGAACATAACGCTTTGGTGTCAACCAGATAATGTATCAAGAAATTTCGTTTATTTCACAAATGAACACTTTGGAAAAGACATGGTGTAACTTTTCCCACCATAAATTTTAACATTTTGTTCGTATCAACCAGCGAATAAGTTTCTTTTTTCTAGTTCCGACTGCTCTTCTTGAAAGCTTCAGGAGAAAAGTTAGCCCTGGCAAGCAGCCAAAGTTACGGTGGCCGTTCGTCCAATTGCTCTTGCCAAAGCCGTGCAAGCCTAAGACGCGTCTGCGATACAGCCATACGAACGTATTCTCTCCAAATCACCGAAGACTTTACAGGAACTCGTTATTGCATTTGAGGAAGAGAAAATAAACCGAGACTGTCTGTAGGAGGCATGCTAAAATATGTTAAAAATGCATAACTCGGGATTGTAAAAAGTAAGATTATAGCACTGTAAGTTATGTTTTTTTCAAAGGAATAAAGAGCATCAATATCGAGACAAAAGTAAGTAGTCACTTCGTAACTGGCATCGCTAACTATCTACGAAACCGACTATTTATTGGAGGAGCACTGTGAGGAAAGGGGGTCCTTTCCCCTTTACTCCCTCGAGGGCCCCACAGTGTCTATGCATAAAACTCAGCCGATTATGTTATATTACAACCGAACTAATCTGAAAACGACTTGACAACAACAAAAAACTAGCATTAGAAGAGATTGATATCTTATAGTAATGGAAATGGATCGAGCAACAATCTATCACATGCCACTTTTTCATTAATTTGTAAATTGTTCGTAAGTTATTCATCTGCTCATACAGGCGAATTTGATTCGGTGTCGACGTTTCATGAGATGTAATTTTAGCTCGATCAATTAGAAAACTTGGCATAGCTGCTTGGACTTCGTGGTTGAATTATGCGACGTTTAAAAGTAATGGGCGCAATATTTTACTAGAAGTTCTATAATATAAGTAAATATTCATCACTCACTTGCTCTTCCAGAGGCGGGAAAGACTTATACTAGTACCTGCCACCCAGATTGCCCAGTGAACGACTGCTCTCCACTTGTATAGTTTTCAAGATTTTAGGGCATGCTGCATTTCCATGCAAGTACACAGAAGGTGGAAAGTATTTTTTCGCTAATTACATGCATTCTCGTTGATGTAGCAGTGAGAGAGTTAATTCTATTCGCAATGAATGGGTTAGACCATCAAACTTTGTGAGTAATCTTGATCCACAGATATGCTATAGGATGAAAACAAAGAAATTCCGATATCTGTGCCAAAAACACATGATTAATATTGGAAATAAGTGATTATTTTAAAAATTTGAATCCGAACAATGATGACGGATGCATAAAATATTTACAAGTCAGAGATACTTCAGAAAAGGTGAAGCATCACTTTATTGCAAGGATCTAAAGTTGTCCTAGGGGACACCAAGAGCGAAGATCAAAGCAAGGGAGAGCAGCCACAGCTCAAAGAGCTCAATCTCGGATGCATTTTCCGACTTACCGGCACGATTACTCTGATCGATCATTGGCTGAACTATGCGCCGCCTTGCATTGATGAACCTTCAGAGAGAGAAAAAAATAAGGCGGTTAGGGAGTGCAGCAAAGCGTGACAGGTGATACCTTACAATCTAAAGAGAAGGTTAGCGTCGTAGATTTTCAGTAAATAAGATACCAAAGTAGCAGTAGCAGCAGCAGCAGCAGCAGCAGCAGGGCTTCGATGTACATAAGCGAATGGATAAAATGAGGGTAAAGATCGGCATTACAGAACATTCGACAAAAGTTGGACAATTTCGCGAGGCTGCTATAAAGCGTTATAAAGAAATAAAAAATAAGGATACATCGCCAAGGGTTTTTAAAAAGCGTATCTAAGGCGCATTGAAATATAAAATATTCAAGGAGAATGAAAGCTCAAGAAACGAAAATGAATTCAAGGAGACGAGTAGAAAGTCAAACCGGATTTGGACAAAGTAGCGTTCTCATTCCACGTCTTCACAGTTCTTCCCTTCGCATTTATAAAAATCGCAATTTCACGAAGCCAAATTAGTGAATAATTAATCAAAGGTCATTACAAAGTTTGGAAATGTTGATTCAAACAATTTTCTTTTGAGATCAGGATCATTTGTTGAATTCCAAGGGGGAAGAGCTTGTGGCGAGGGTATGGTGGCGTGAGCAATAGGTCGGAACGACTTACCACTCGCCCCCGCTCGATTGGATTGATCTATGAGAGGCTGAACAATGCGTCGCCGAGCATTGATAAACCTGAAGTACAAGGACTTAGTCAATGAAATGCATACATAATTCTAGGTAAAAATTATACGATAAAGAAAAATTCCATTGTCAGGTTCCAATCTGTAAGAAAGAGAAGGGACGGTCAGGATTAGTTACATTTTCTCTTCTAATAAAAAAAGTTAGCCGATTCATAGATTTTCACAATTACAAAAATACACGAACTTACCAAATTAAATGATTTTATTAATATACAAGGTATCTCCAAAATTACCTTCAGCAATCTGTAACCAGCAAATTACCTTCAGCAATCTGTACAAAAGAAATTGACACGAAAACGCAATGGAACAGATTTCCGAAAACTTGAAACTAATACGCGTCTAAAACTTTTGCACTCGTATACTCGAAATTGATTAACACAATGTGCTTCACGTCATAATTTGAAGGAAAAAATTCAAGGTAATTTTTCGTGTAAAAATAAGCCTAGACTCAAAATATTGAAGATGTACAATACGTTCCACGAATTGAAGATTGAATTAGCGCGTTATTCATCGAAACACATTCAACTTCAGGTTTTATATTACTGGAAGTTTAATATGGACGTTTTGAAACGAGGATTGACATCTCTGTATTGCGGCGGTTAATGCGAATTAATATTTGAAGATTCGTAGAAATAATTGTTCTAGAACAGAAGTACCAATCTCTTAGTATGTGAATATTACACGTGCTTGTGAAAAAAAACTTCGAAATCTTACTGAATCTTCCACATTGGTTTAACGTCGCATTAAATTGATTACGGTTCTACAATGTGATTTATAAACCTTCAACAACATTTCATTCAAATATGCGGAGTACCTGGATTCTATATAGCAACTAAAAATATACTAAGAAAAGTAATCCTACGCTGAAAGAGCTGCCAGTTCGCTTATTTTCCGAAGTGCCGAGGCTGCTGTGCTTCAGTTCACTAAAGCGCGACGCGGGGCTCAAGAAACTGACCACCGACCCAAAGATTACGAAAATGGAAATAAGAAGGGAACCAACACAAAATTGGTTCAAAACAGTCGAAGAAATAGAACAGTGCTTCCAAGAACATTCAAATTTCCAAAACAGTGCTTTTAGTGACAGGATATATACAATTCGCTGCGAGAGTCATGCTTTCAAGGGTAAAGCTGCGTGAAAAAATAATCCAAAGAGTAATTAGCTCCAATTTCTGTCGCACGATTTTGCTGCGACCTCCGAAGTTGATGTTGGTCACGTATGTAATGGTGACCTAGAGACTAATAGACGCCGCTAACAGCCACTACACGGGCCTAATAGAAATGATTGGGGGAGGATGTCAACGAGAGGCATGTGACCGGACTGCAAGCAGCCCATCAAGTCCTTCCAAACACACGGTCAATTCTTCGTTCCATAAGTACATACTGAGTTATTTAGTGTTATATATCGAACGAAGCAACAATGGATTTGCATACAGAAAACATGATCAAATTGTTGTATAAGCAATGAATGAATTGCATAAAAATTGCATATTTATGGAATTATCTAGCATGAACGGTGTTTGAAGATCACGCCCAGTTGTTAAGTCATAGCAAAACTTTAATCTCAATCCAAAATAATGGGGAGCGCCAAAGACAGTCATAAAGACGTCATCTTGATCTCTATGTCATTGGCAAACTTGAGTCATACTGAGGGGTGACCTCTCACGGCCCGGATGTGGGAATGCTGTAGCCGACGATACAGATCACTGCAGGAGTAGTGTTCGCCGCAGGGGACTGGAGAGACCCTATACATACACTGCGATGCTGCGTCATCAGTCGCTTTCGAAAAAAGGACATTGGGAGTTGTTAGTATTAGATGGTTTTGCCAGAAACATGACCATTTATCGGGATTATGCACGGAATAATATTAATTTGTTAGGACCAATATCGATAGGTATGACTATATATTAGAAACAATTGTTTTTAGAAAACAGTTTTTCAAGAATAATTGACTATTTTGCTCGGAAGTTTTAATTTGAAAGTTTGCGAACTGAATCTAATGCAGTCAGAGCGACGTCAGAACTGGTCACAGCTTAACGTCGTTGACGTTTATTTGTTGAGTTTACATTGCGACCAATCCTTCGAGGGATTTTTCTCTTCCCTCCCCAGCGATCACTGCGCAACAATCTATCGACAGGCAGTCGAGGGTGCGTTTTTCACTAGTTACCAGTGAACTTTTGCACCCAGCGTCGAGCTAGCACGCGCCCGTTCAGTGTTCATTGCGGGAGGTCACGGCAGGCGGTACACAGCCTTATTCTCCCAGACTTGTCAATCGTTGGTCAGTGGCTCTAATTAACGTCTGAAAACTTGCCCTCCGAATTGGCTGCTGACTGAGGAATGCACTAGTTAGTTGGGTCTTATATAGTTACGAACGAAACAGAAAACCAATTCAGCAATCAAGGATCATTTGCGTTTAGATTCAACCACGCTTTGAATTTAAAATTTTCCAGTTATTTTTATGCGGTATAATAATCCCCAAACTATTTGAGCTGTTCACAAAGCTGTTCTATTAGTAAAAACTCAAGGTACAAACTCCAGGTAAATAAATAAACATGGTACTGTAAATGTGAATGCAAGTAAACACGGTATCTTGCAAATAAACAGGAAACCAAGCAAAAATGTTTGAACGTATAAAAATATGTGCTTCCTACCAAATTTAAGGTTTGAGAAGCTACTGGACAATATATTTGACGATTTAGATGCCATTCTTCTAGGCACAGAAATCCTTTCATTATATCCGAGAGAGTCGAGTTAACTACTCGCATTATGCAGGCTAAATAAGTGATCCAACTTAATACCACACAGCACGAAAAGACGTGGATAAAGCGCCAGCTAAGATCTCAGTTCTCATAGTGGTAATTATACGAGGTAATTCTTTGAGGTGATGGCTAATCCAGATGAGCATTAATTTACGAGACCAGTGAACCTCGGATATCACACTTCACTATCCTCAAACTAATATGGGTCAAAGTTTAATAAAAGATCAGTAACTAATGAGAAATGCCTTGAGTTGAGCCATTGAGCCGAAGGCAATATTTTTTCCAGGTTTAGAGAAAGAAGCCCTCCCAATACCTTGTATCCGAATTATAAACATTTTAACTTAATTTCATGATTGGTATTAACAATAAACAAGGAGTTATCTAAATTCATTAATACCCTTGAAATAATTATAAATGAAATAGGAAAAATAAGTTAATTTTGTCTTTGGAGATGATAATTCCAAGAAAATACTTATTTAAAGAAATTTTATTAGTGATTTTGCTATTTCTCGAGAAAGGGAGATAAAACTTCAGACATACGTCTCATCTTACGTGGAGCCCAAGCCCCAAGAAGCTACTTTTCGCATGACTACAGGTAGACATGTAGGGTCTTCATGCAAAAAGACTAAGCATCCATAAATAGACGTTAAAAAACGCATAAATATTCTTCGGTAAGCACTCAAAACAATCTCATTACTATCAAGAATACCAGATGAAAATTAAAAGTTTCACTTCCAATCACTTGTTTGGTGTGTCATGCTAATTAGTATGAAAATAAGCAGTTTTTTCTCGTCGTGGTCTCTTTGATACGAATAATTATCCAAATTGCAAGTAAATCTGCGATGAGATCATTGCCTGCCGTCCAGCTTAGACTATTTTTATTCAGAAACTTTTTCGTGCCTGAGGAAAGGTTAGCAAGCACAAAAGGAAGCGTACTATGAAAAAAAGTCAAAAGGTTTTCCATCTTAATTCCCGAGTGAAAACAATAGAACATCTGCGTAAAACAAGAGGGCTGCCGCTTGCCGACATGAAAATCCGGGAGCATTGGAAAAATTACCAACTCTCATTAAATCTGATACTCTTGTTTACAAGACACTCTTAACTAATGATCTCGAGTGTAGAGTAATAAACACTGCAAATGAACTTGGAATATTCACAAGTATAGATTATAACCAATAAGAGACAGCTAGAGATCTAGCTAAGAATATACCAGAGTACAAAAAATTGAAACTGCATATTGGCTGCGGAAATTGAAAATAAACTAAGGAGCAATATGTCTTACTCTCAACAAATTCGCGAAAATTTGTAGATCGTCAATACCATACATCATGATGTATCAGGTTCTGAACAGCTGAAATACATCCATCTCATCGCAAGGAATTTCTTCGACTCCAATACTAAAATTATATTATATTATAAAATTATATATGGCAAACGGCAGGCACCAACTGACTGACGTCTGGAACAGATTTTAAATTTATCCGACTTCACAATTTCTACTAAATTCCTACGAAACAATTTTCGAATACAGAGTAAA